TTCAATGCTACTTTTTAGGAGGTCTTTTTTATCTATATTTTTCGTATATTGCTTATTATTATTGCTTGCTGTGGTTGTTATTACTGTGATGCTGCTTATAATCACGGTTCATCTTTATCTTCTGTTACTACTATATGATCATTAAAAAATAAAGGATAATAATAATAATGATAACAACCATAATGATAATAATAATAATAACAATCATAATAATAATAATAATGATAACAACCATGATAATAATAATAATGATAACCATAGTATTAATAATAATGATAACAACTATAATTATAATAATAATATTGATAACAACCATAATAATGATAATAATGATGATAACAACCATAATAATAATAATAATAATCATAATAATAATAATAATGATAACCATAATAATAATAATGATGATAACCATAATAATAATAAAGAATAGCAATAAGGTATTATTGGAAGGGGCGCCTAACACCAGAGATGAAGAATTGACCTTGCCTTCCGATAATATTCTAATACCCTTTTCTTCTATAGCATTCCCTTCGCAAACTAATCATAAGGGTAGTTGAAATGATGTATCCCCCTCCCCAGAAAAAATCCAGACAAACTGATGTGTCGGCGGCATAGAAAAGAAGGTTGGGCGCGAGAGGCGGCAGCGGAGCGGGAAAGGGAAAGGCCGAGGGAGACGGACTGGAAGGGGAAGGAGGCGAGAGCTAGTAGGAGGGGGGTGAAAAGAGGGGACATGTGCCTCTTCAACTATTTCGTTCCATGGAATTTTCGCGAGTTCCGCTAGTATCAGTCATTCGATAAGGGTGATGATTGCATGCCCAGGAGAGCGCTGGCGAAGTGGCGGCGATCTGCGGGTCGCGAGCATGTGTGTCGGATGAGAGCAGATCCGGAGGCCAAGGAGGCAGATGGTTTTTTTTCCAATCTTTCGAGTGATTTGGGCGACGAAGATATTAAAGGACAGCTACTGAATAGGAGGGAAATATCTCTGCGGCAGAGGTGATTACTAGTAGGTTGAAAAATGTTATCATTTATGATGTTCGTATTTGAGAGGGGAAAGGAAGGCGGCCGAGCCTGCCAGGGGCCTCCTCTAGCCTGGGCTCCAGACGTCCTTCTGCAGGGCCTCCAAGGGAACTGGGCTGGCGGTGAATAGGGCTCAGTAGTGCTCACCTGCAGCATCTCTGTTCAAGTACAGACACTTATAATGTGATTTTGGAAAAAAAAATCTTGATAGCTATTGAATTTTTTCGATTTGCAATTTTAACATTGCCGCTCGTGACCTTTTTATTCTTAGGTAATGGAGATCGCAATATGCAATGCATTTGGAAATTTGAACAGAAAGTCTCAGAATTATTGATGATTTCAGTTTCACACAGCTGAATGACACAAGGTGAATGCCTCTAATGAAGAGAACAGCAGAAAGTGAGACTGGTATTTTCTGTGCAAGTTGATAATATGAAAGTTGTGCATCATTTTTTTGGTTGTCTATGCATTTACAGAAATATCTAAGACACACTTAAAGAAAGAGAATAACTAGACTCACTGATGCATGAAATGATGTACCACTGCAAATCATAATGTTAGAAATGAAGAAGGTTAATCGGAAATTTTCCCTGTATGACGATCAGAATGGTAGTAAAAGTGTCTGGAGTGGCTACCTTGACGAAAACTAAGGCGCTTTTCATTAGTGGCAAAAAGTGTGCAAATTGAAAATAAAGGACGTGACGCTTAACTCATTACTGTGATCTATCAAGTAGGCCATGTATTACTACACAATTGTCAGAACAATTATTTTGTAATTACCAGTGTGTGTTTCTCTGATTTCATGTAGGTAATGCATTCTTTTCATTTTATTATGCTTCTTTTATGTGTTTTGGTAATTATTTACACTATTCTGTACAATAGCCTAGTGTGCATGCGTGCCTTGCCACGGGGAGATTTGACAGGCCATGTGATGCCATTCGATGAGAAATGCCGGTGAGAAATATTTCAATTTATGTGTTGCACGTATTCTGGGACATTTTAAAAGCCATAAAGTGAATATACAGAACAAATAGATATTGGTATCTATTGCAGCCCAATATTTGAGCCCCAAATGCCAAAAAAGTGTATAGAAACAAAGCAATTCCAAGATTACACAAACTGAAAAAATTACTTGGATATAGTTTGCAATGGCAGACAGTCCCCCCCTCCCCCCTGAAAAAAAATAAAATAAAAAATAAAAACCTCTTGGTGCTGGGTGACGCCGATCGGCATGTAAACAAAGCGCTCGAAAGCTGGCGTGCAGCCAAACGAGCCGGCGGCGCGCCAAAGCGCGGGGAGCCAGTGATTCGGGCTGATGTCCCCTACTCACACGCTCAAAGTCGGCACGCTGCCTTTGTTTGCTTAAGCGTAGAGTTTTTTTTTTGTTTTGTACACCCGGTGCCATTGGGTTAATATGGCCTTCAGATAGAGTTGAACTAACTGAGGTACATTTTTTCGGTAATTTAGGGAAAAAAAGTGT